AGAAATGGCTACTGTAAATTAGTGTATAGTAGCAGCATACACCATAAAAATCACTGTGATTTGCTTCAGTGCCACTTATCATAACTAGTTAGCTGTCAGCTCTTACATATGCTGTTGTTTACACTTCCATTTTAACACAACAGCAGGTTCTCATTACACTGGTTTATAAGTTACACAAAACCAGCTGCATATTATACAGTGTCACATTAGTATTTTAATATTGATTATTGCCATATATTTATAAGTACCACAATATATATATATAAAGTTTCAAGATGACATTCTTTTAAGTCTATCAAAAGGTGCATATAAAAACATTGAAGCACAGTACTTATGTGAACAAATGGCTCAGTGATTAAAGTGTGCCCAGTCTGATTAGCAGGTTGAAAGTTCAATTTCTATTAGTGACAGCTACTTTAAATATTTTATATTTTATATTTTCAAACATATACAATATAGCAGAGATACAATAGTGTTTGTATGGAAGTTCTATATATTTTGGATTTTTGCATATTACTTCTATTCTGGTAAATTAGCCTTTGTATAACAAGTACAGCACAAATAGCACAAATAGCAGAATAGCACAAACAGTGAGAATAGCATAAAAATAGGTCTAAATAACATTAATAACAAGAGACCATACTATTTCAGCACTATTCCTGCTATTCTGCTATTAAAGTGTGAATTAGTGCTAAACTATGCTAAATTATGCTAATTAGCAATAGAGGTTTGTTCAGATGTATCAGCATTCTTAGGTGTCTGGAGTCCACATTTTATATTTTAGATATCTGAAACAGTACCTCATGTATATAAGGATCTCAGTGCTTGTTATGGTACACACAAAACTATTCTTACTCACAACCTCCACTTGCTAGTACCTTCTACCAATCTACAAGTGAGTACAACCTAAATATTCTCTATAGTGATCTTGATGCTAAAGCTTATAGCTTACGTTAGTATGATGCATTACTGTAGTCACAGGACTGAAACGGCCAGAAATCTGACATCTGACCATTAGGGTATGCATTAGCTGACTGGCTGAAAATAGTTTGACATTTGACGTATGTCTGACTTTAGCTGACATCGCAGGCTGCAATGGATGCTACCACCTATGTGACTGCAGGAACGTGCTTCATTATAACATTTCCCCTCAATAAGCTGCTATATTTGCAATGGTGAGC